CGCCTGGGCTGCGTGGAAGCCATCAGAATTAGTTGCTGGATTCCTCCTGCTGGCACGCATGCATCTCGTACTGCATGCTCACAACATCGCCAAGCTGCGCTTGCTGCCGTAGTGCACAGAACAGCGGGCAGCAGCTGCGACGTCTCTCCTACACCGCCATGCTCAGGAAAGCACTGCAGCCATCCCTCAACCAGAAGTTGGGGCCTCCTCGAGGTACTGGCAGGCTTCCCTGTGCCTCCTTTCGTCCTAACAAAGCACTGCATGGGCAGAATGCCACCCAATCTCCAGACCAGGTTGTGGCGCGCGCCTCCTCCTCCTTCTCAAGGAATGCCGGTGGGACAATAGGGGCCTGGCAACCAACAGTCCACCATTTTTTCTGAGGCTTCTACGTTTCTCAGCTTCTGACCCCCAAGCGCTCGCGAGCAGCTTGGGTAGCCGCCCGTATCTTCAATGCCTGGTCAAAATGCACTAGAACAAGCTCCAAAGAAGTCCTGCGGCTGATCTCCTGCTTGCAGGACACACCTGAAACATGTTTGCCTTTTCTTCTTTAAAAGGAAGCCGGCACATTCCGCCTGCGCAAGAAGGTTGACATCAGCATGTGATCGCTTCAACACATCGTCAATGGAGAGCTCCTCCACACCTGATTCTTGCAAGCATGGCTTGCGTCGGACTGATGAGTGCTGGCGCCGTGATGGCTGTTCGCAGCTATGTGGAGACCAGGAAGAGTACTCTCGAGATCTTGGAGATGCGTGCTCTTGTTAGACCCGGCAGTCCGCTACAAGTATAATCACCACTTTCATGCGCATGCCTCTCTGTGGTGCAACCTCTTTGACCTTCCAACAGCCCGAGCACCGCAGCGCAAAGACGCAATGCCAATGTGCGGCTCAATGTCTCTAGATGTTCAGCCCTTGTTGCTCCGGGAGGTTTGCGGATAAAGGTGCGAGCTTGTGAGTGCGAGAACTTGCGATTGGAGGATGGCAGCTGACTCAGCTGACCAAGAATCCAAGAGTTTGGCTGTGCTCAAGATCAGCATGTCCTTCCTGCACACCAGCATTTCATTCTGGAACTTCGTAGCCAAACATTAAACCAGGTTCCCACTTAGTCACTAGTCCTCATCATCCCGTTGTGGGCTCGACGCAGCTCTCGTTGTCGGCGTAAGAGGCGAGTCCTTGCTGCAGCAACAGCTTGGACACCGGTCATCCCGACGATAGGTTTTGTGGCGACCGAGGTGCTGCAGCGCTGTTGTTGCAAGACTCGAATTTCCTGGCGTAGGCCAACAAGTGCTTCCCGCAGTCGTCAAGCAACCGCACAATTGCCAAGTGCACTCGGGTTTGTCATCGACTTGATCGTCATGTCCCTGTCCGTTTGTGCCTGAGCAAACAATCTACATCTTGTTTCTGAGCTCTGCACAGAATCCACGACTGTCCAGCCAACATAAGACGTTCCCGTGCCAGGGTGCCGTGAGCCTTCCAGGACATTGGCACCTGCCGAGCTACATCCAGCGCACGGAAAGGTAAGCAGTGGTCGGCAATTTGCGCGAGACAATAATTTGAGTGAGAGACTCCAAGACATGCAACCCCGAAAGGAGTCGAGGTTGGGGTGGCAGCTTCGGGTGTTCACTGGTTTTGCTTGAGTGTGGGCTGAATTTGGACGGTTGTGGCAGGGTTTTGCAAACCCACCGTCTCCAGCCCCATCCCGAAAGTTGATCTCCAAGCCATTGCAGGAGCAAGGCCCCAGCTTCGAGCGGGGCAGCTGCGTGATGCATTTGGCATGTTTTGGGGTCAGTTGGATATGGGCTTGAGTGCTGCTGACGCTCCCGCTCCCTGTCCACTCATACCCACCACAAGCCCGGCCCATACCCACTCCAACATTACGCCTCAATCATCTTTTTCTATACGCTGATCCGTAGGGTGCCTGCCTGCCTCACGAAAGCAACGCCAAACCCGACCCACCCAATTTGTCCCGAGATCCGCCGAAAACTTGACTGGGCAAGCAAGCTTCCAACACTTGAGTGTGCTGCTACTGCTGGTGCTGCGGTTTATGCAGACAGGTCGATAGAGAGTGAGCGTCGAAGCTCACCTAGTCCATACACCAACCCGCCTACTAGTATCTAAGCCAGCGCAGGAAACCCCCAAATAGCCCATTCCACTTCGAGCAACTGGCAAGCAAAGGTGTGTGTGTGTGTGTGTAAAGCTGTCCGGGCGTAACAACAACCAGTGGCTCCTGGAAGATGACACCGTGGACCGAGACTAGAAGCCGTCAGGTCAGAACCGGATCCAGACTGTGATGGCGCTGGCCCGGGCCTTGCTGATGCTGGCCTTGGGGGCCAAGGCCTGCAGCATTAGCAGAACAAGAACTTCGCTCGGCTGTCTCCGTGCATCCCATTTGGGAACATTGGGTCGGAGCGTGCTCTGGTGCAGTTCCTGGGGGCGCCCGCTTCATTCTTGAGCGGCTTCCGCACCGAACAGTTGGGATAGCGGACCTTGGCTAGCTTCGTGTTCGCTATGCAGCTAGACGTACAACTATGAAAACACATTGAAGCAGACTGACAAGGCTGTAACACCCACCACCCTGTCAAACATCTGATTGTCAGTTAAAGCCTGTGACACAACAGCGACGTCAGGGCCCCGGGCCAATCTCGCTGAAGGTCCGGCCAAAAGAGTTGGATAGTGGCTTTGCCTGCACAAAGCCAAACAGACAACACGCTGCATCGCCACTCCTCGCAGAGCTGAGGAGCTCACACTGGGACCAAAGTGGGCTGCATGGCCTCGGCAGGCAATCACCCGCCTGCATGCACTTGGTAACCTGCCGAGGCCCCAGCTGCATGAACGTTGTAGTTGTACCTCCTGGGCAAAGCTGCGTATGACTGAGTGGACTTGCAACTGCGACGAACTGAGAGGCCCACGCTGGGACCGGAGGCACGGGTGACAATCTCTTGACCTCAGCGTCCAGCAGGTTACCGGAAAGGCGCGCCGTCGTGGAGCCGAGGCTTGAACTCGAAGCACTCGGCCGCGGCTCCTGATTCATGCTGCGACATGCTACGATGCACACGCGCGCCGTCGTTGCAACGACGTCTCAGGACGACACACGAAAACAGGCGGCGTGTGTTCTGCACCTGAAGCCTCGGTATACAAAACGGCACCATCAAGCTCGCCACAGTCTCGGCATAAGGCCCAAACAAGGAACACCTGTTTCCGAGGATCATAAACCCTGCAGGGCGCCGAGGGTTCAATACCTAGGGCTGCAATGTTGACTGGGCCTCGGCAGCATCATGCTTGCCATGGCGTTCCGTCAGCTCGATTGGTTTGACAAATATTCCTGCTCAAGTTCACAAGCATGCAATGTCAACGTGCACCACTTCAAAGAGCAGACATACTTAGTGCATCGTGCTGTCGCCCCCATCAACGGTGTGCCTGCAATGAAATGCGTGGCCTGTAACTATCCGCTTACTACTTGCCTGCTTGACACGGGCTGCAGAATCAAAGCAAACGCGAAAGCTGGCGCCTGCTACTTCAAGGATGCACACCGTGCAGCTGACTGTGCTCCGCGGAAGCCCCTTGACGGAAGGGTTCGTGGCAGGTCGAACATCGCTATGCCATGCTATGCCTGTAGAGCCACCTCGAAAAAAGAGAGCCGTACAAGCATCCTGCCCCGGACGACTTTTCCGAATTTGTAGAGAGGGACAAAGCTTTCTGGTCGACGCAGAGCTGACAATCAGGTCGGAAGTAGCCACTGTACATCAAACGGCTGCCTGGAGGTCCGGGATGGTTCTGGCATGCTAGAAGATAACAGAAGAAGAAAAGTTCTCGAACTGTAGCCTGGGTAGGTTCTGCATGCAAGTCTGACTGATGTCCCGGAGTGTCGTCAGCTTGGCCGTACACAAATTCATTGCGTGCGTTTCTTGCTTCGCAAGCCGGGCTCCCAAGATGAGCGGCCGCTCTTCATGCTGCCAGGGTTCTCTTATCCATCCCCACCTTTTGCACCCAGTGGCTGGTCGGCTTGTTAACATTGTCAAAACTTATATTATGCAAGGCAACAACGTAGCTACTTGTAGCTTCGAGCGGGACGGCCAGTTGCTGCGATAAGTCTCCGGAGAGATTTTCCTGCTTTCTTGCATTGTTTCGATGATGTTTGATGATGGATGGTGTGGTGCTGGTGCTGGTGTTGTTGATCGTGAGTGGTAACTATACCATCACATCAGATGAAGACCGCAACAACCTCAGCTTCGTTCGGCTTTGCCACTGCTTCTCCGGAGCTGCTTGAACTAGAAAAAACATGAACGTCGAACTTTGGACATATCCCAGGATTGGCATGACCCCCAGGAACATGGGACCCATGCACAAGGTTCTATGGCAGAATTTATGGGTCTGAATTGCCTAAATACTGCTACAGTGCTACCTCCAACTCCAATCAGAACTTCGAGTTTCATGTCAAATGTGCAATCGGAAGGGCATTTCGGCGCAGGCGCGTGGCACCTCTAAATTGGGCTCCGACACCTAAGCACAGGAGCCCCTTCAGCGAACCAGAAAGCGGTCAAAGGCAATATCTCGTGGGCAGCAATAAACCAAAGGACATCAGAGTCTGAAAGCACTTTAGGACAATACACGTGATGTTCGGACAGCCCCTACGAGAATTGCACTCCCAGACTGCTTTGCCCAAGGAGTGGAGGCAGTCATGGATCGCTGGACCTTGGCTTGAGCAGTGGCTCGAGGCGTGAGTTTTGAACATTTAACAATAGACGTATAGAGGAATCAACTCTTGATGAAACTTCATGGCACTTCACTAACCAACGCGGGAACTGAAGCGTGCCTGTCGTGACGATCATCGTTCGGAACTGCTTCAGCTGTGTGCGCTTGTTGCCGGAGTTCTTGCAAAAACCTAGGAGCCGCGAATTCTTCGCTTCTGTTGCGCAAATAGTGTACTGTGCGCATTGCAGCCATCTCCAGAACTCTCGCAAGATCATGTTAAGAGTCAAACTCAACACTGTGGTCTGCCCAATGTCGCTGGCCTGGCAGAGGCCATGCGTAGGTCGGACCGCAATTGTGATGGCAAGTCCAAGAATTGATACCGTGCCTTCCACCATATCATAATACCAAGCCAAGCGCGCAAAACCTGAAATGAGCAACTAGGAAAGTGGGGCTTGGGCCTGCCTGTGAATGACAGCGTTTGCGAAAAGAAACGCTTGAGGCAAGTGCACCAGCAGCCGCACGGGTCGGTGATGGGGGGTGGCGGTCTGCGCAACATGACGCCGGTGACTTGCTTGTGTCGTACTAAATGTAACGACGAGTGTCTTCACATGACATGAGGAGCCCGTGCCTGTCGATGTCACGGCAAGGATCCTGCGCAACTATGTGACACCAAGTGGCGAATACCGCTTCGCAGCCGACCCCTAAACATTCCCACGGTGCGGGATGAATATCATCATAGGTCTGCCGTGAGCACCTGCTGCCTCCATTGACTCCGATGCAAACGGCAAAAAACATGAAACTCATGCCGTTGCCCTGAGAAGTACAACTCTTTTCGGTACCAAGCACCACTGCACAGCACATCACAGCGTCTTGAAACAACCCTTTCTCGGGAAAGCACTGGCATTGACGACTCCCCTTTCCGAGCATACTGATGTAGGACTGCGCAGAAGGTGATGAGGACCAGTCTTGCACAATGCTGCGAATAAGCTGTGCTTTTGCACGTAGCGGCAAGTCAATACCGGATTGAATGCCCAGGATATCTGTTCTGAGGCTTTTGCATCTTTGATGTACAGTAACCACCCGCCCCAAATTGCAAGACCGAAGCTAACACATCAGCTTAGAGATGAAGTGAAGGGACCCCCGGCGGTTGCTGAGAAGTGGCGATAGCACAACAATGATGCATGATCGTGCTCAGGCGGAATAGATGCTAGAGGAAGCATGTCTAATCTACTCATAAACCCCGTGCACCTCAGCGACACCGGTCAAGTCTATCTCCGCCTCCATGAAGGCAGCCTCGAAAGGGTTCCCGCAGTTGCAGATAAATTCAAATGGGTGGCACAATCCGACCATTTCAAAAACCAGCTGAGGCTTTGGCGATAGTGTCGAGGCGAGGCACGCCTGGTGGTTGCTTCTGCATTTGCGCTGCTTTTGTCTTGATGTTGACATGTATGTCACACCGGCTTGTGTCGTGTCATGATACAAACTCCAATGGCATCAGGGTGTATGCCGGGTAAGCCTCTATCCCCCCCGGAGGTATCAGACGCGCGGGCACGGGGTTGGCAATTGGGGGAGGGAGGGAAGAGGGATGGATAAATAGATAGTCTCAGACGCGCGGCTAAGGCATCAGAGGTATTCCGCGGGGGAAGCATCCCGCGGGAAGGTATCAAAAGCGCGGAGGTATCCCGTGGAGGAGGCATTCGACGCAGAGGTATACCAGACGCGCAAAGGTATCCCGCGGAGAAGGTATCAGACGCGCGGAGAGGAGGGAAGGAGGGAGGAGACCGGAGGAGGGAGGAGGAGGGAAAGAAAAAAAAAAGACAGATAGAAAAACAAATCGACAGATAGATAGATAGTATCAGACGCACCGATCCAGAAGATCAGACGCGCTGAGGTATCCGGTGGGAGAGGTATCAGACGTCGGAGGCAGCAGATGCGGAGGCATCAGATCGCGCGGGCACGGGTGCGGAGCAGCGCGAAGCTATCCACCGCGCATCGGCCTGGAGAGAAGGGGGGGCAGGACAGATAGACATTTATAGGGGGCCAGGATATAGATCATTGATAGATCGGAGGTACACACGCGCGGAGGTATCAGACGACGCGCGGAGGCATCAGAGCGCATGGGCATCAGACGGGCAGAGGGAGGCGCGGGCACGGGGTTGGGGGATGGTATCAGACGTGCGGCTACAGTATGGAGCGGGAAAGTAAGCAGATCGGGTATCAAATGCGTGGGGAGGTATGTCGTGGGAGAGGTACCTGAGACGCGGGCAGACGCGTGGCCACGGGGTTGGGGGAAAGGGGGGGAAGGAGGGAGGAGGGGGGATAGATAGATAGATAGATAGACAAATGGACAGATAGACAGATAGATAGAAAGACAGATAGATGTATAGCATCAGACGCACCGATCGATCCAGCAATCCCGCGGAGGAAGTACAGTATCAGACGCGCGGAGGTATCCCGCAGGAGAGGAGACGTGCGGCTACGGAGCGGAAAAGTATATAAGCAGAGAAGGTATCAAATGCGTGGGGTGGTACCAGACGAGGCGCGGAGGTATCCTACATGCGGAGGTAGCAGACGCGAGGAGGTATCCGACGCGCGGAGGCATCAGACGCGCGGACGTAGCCCGCGGAGGAGGTGTTAGACATGCGGAGGTTTATCCTGCAGAGGAGGTCTATCCCGGGCATCAGACGCGCGGAGGTCCGCCAGAGAGATGGAGGCGGAGGTATCAGATGCGCGGGCACGGGGTTGGGGGAGGGGGGGAGGAGGGATAGATAGATAGTATCAGACGTGCGGCTATGGAGCGGGAAAGTAAGCAGAGAGGGTATCAAACGTGTGGGGAAGTATCAAACGCGCGGAGGTATCCTGCGGGGGAGATATCCCGCGGAAGGTATCAGACACGCCAGAGGTGTCCCATGGGGTGGGTATCAGACGCACAGAGGTATCAGACGCGGGGATGCACACACGGGTGCACAGCAGCGTGAAGCTATCCACCGCGCATCGGCCTGGAGAGAAGGGGGGGCAGGACAGATAGACATTTATAGGGGGCCAGGATATAGATCATTGATAGATCGGAGGTACACACGCGCGGAGGTATCAGACGACGCGCGGAGGCATCAGAGCGCATGGGCATCAGACGGGCAGAGGGAGGCGCGGGCACGGGGTTGGGGGATGGTATCAGACGTGCGGCTACAGTATGGAGCGGGAAAGTAAGCAGATCGGGAATCAAATGCGTGGGGAGGTATGTCGTGGGAGAGGTATCTGAGACGCGGGCAGACGCGTGGCCACGGGGTTGGGGGAAAGGGGGGGGAAGGAGGGAGGAGGAGGGAGGAGGGGGGATAGATAGATAGATAGATAGACAAATGGACAGATAGACAGATAGATAGAAAGACAGATAGATATATAGCATCAGACGCACCGATCGATCCAGCAATCCCGGGACAAATATAGATAGGTATCAGACGCGCGGACGTGTCAGATGCGCGGAAAGTATGACACGCATGGCAGCTATGAGGCGCGCAGAGCAGCAACGGGATTCCGGGCGGGCGGTGGGGGAGGGTCGGCAGGACAAACCCGGAGAAGCCTGATACGAAAAAAAAG